CATGTAATTGTTTATACAAATCCTTTCAAAAAAAAGTTAATTATATAGTAAAAGTTTGCACCGCCATTCTTTTCGCTAGGGACTGTATTTTATTCTTTTATTATGTCAAACAACTTGGATATAGTATAAAACATTTATCTTACTAGATTTACTCCTTTTATCAAAGACTTTTCTAACTAACCTGTTTATATATTTATCTAGTATCTAATTATAGATGACAATAGGATAGGAAATAGTATGATTTTTATTGTATTCGTTTGTAGAATTTAAAGAATTATTGCTAACCTTCTGAGAAATAAGGGTCTGCTATCTGGTATATAAGCATGCAGTACCAATTATCAACCTTCTGAGAAATGAAGGTCTACCATCTGACATAATAGACATGCAACTCCATTCAGTTTTTCTGAAGTGAATGCCTTTCATTTGCATGATATTACAAATGTTCTGAGAAATAAGTGTCCACCGTTTAGTATATGGGTGTATAGTGCCTCTCATCTATATAATGTGTATCTGTTATTAGTCTCTCCTCTATTTATGTGAGAGAGTGTTAATCCACATTGTATTTTAATATTTATTTATTATTATAGATTTACTACCTTATAAAAAATGAATATGTTGCGGAAAGTTAGAATTATCAGTTCTTATAATAGGAAAAATTAAAGGTTTATGATATGAAAAACTGAAATCGTGAGTGCAGAAAACTACTTCACTATGCTTCAAACATATCTTAAAGAAACAAGTGAATGGATAGGAACATGTACATTTTAGTACACATTATGATGCATCAAGATTTTTAAATGAAATGAAAGATAAAACCTTCATAGGATTATATAACTATATAATTAGATTTTCCAATATAATGTATTTCAAGTTCAAGAAAATGGTTAATTATATTATTATAGGTTTTCTTTTGGATAAACTGATTACATTATATATACTTTGATGTTCTATTTATTTCTATTTTTTAGGGGTCAATAACACATTCTCTATCTTCTCCGTCTACAATCTTTCCTTTTGATACATCATCTACTAGTCTTTCTCTACAAACTATAAAGATAAATTAAAGCCTATAAAATAGTCTTTGCTAAACAAGTCCTAATATGTGTTGTATAATAACAATGAAGGGTTTGTATTAGTTAATATCTTGTATCATTTGATATTGCGTATAACTAAATCTCTTTGCAATAGATTTTATATAGTTAAAATACACATCGCAAGAATTCAACAAAAAAACCAAGTACAAATTAATATTGCTGATGATGATCAAACTATCATTATTACTGCAGAGAATTTAGTAATTGAAGAAAATGATACAGAGATTGTAAATAATCTCTTCATAAGGTTTGAAGTAAATATTAATCTACTAAGAATGTAAGTTATATCAATTTGCACTTTTTTGATTATCAAATCAATTGTCATTTAATACTTGTACCTTTTAATATAGGATGCATGCAAATCATCCAGTTAATGTCAATGTCGAGCATAGCATTATAATTGCAAAATTTAAAATTAAGGCTAACAAAAGAAAAATTCAAATCATTTAATTTTTCTTCTAAATATTTAGAGCTTTAAACAAATAATAATCATTGAATTTTTATTATTTTTATTATAATTTGTTGAAAAATTATTTTTTGATAAGTAAATTTAACTGATTAATTGATTTATTAGTAATACAAAGAAAAATTTTTTTCTGTTATATTTTTTTTTTATTATATTTTTTTTACTATAAATTTTTATATATTTATCTTATTAAATATGCTAGTATTTTTTATTTTTTTCGATAAATATAAGAGTATATTTCATTTTTTTTTTACTTTATATTAATACTTATTCTTTATTGAAAATAAATATATAATATGAATATAAAGAAAAAAACTCTTTCCGTCGATCGCTAAAACTAAAATGACTGGAAAAAAAACCACTTGTAATAACAACTCTAAACCTTACCAAGTTCGCTCTTCTCCTATGGAGAACGA